GAAGGCTTAAACCCCTATTACTTACATATATTGGTACTTTGTTGTTGAAAGCAAAATTAATTTTATATATTTTTTGTGCTTAACTATTGGTTTGATAATATCATATTTTTATCTCTAATGCTTTCTCTACTTGTGTAACTTTTTACGTATCTTTTTGAAATAAAATAAATATAAGAATTTCTGCATAAGGAAGTATACCTTTTTGCACTCGTCTGTTGCCTTAATGGCATACGCAATCGATCCATCATCGAGCCAGTTTTCTGACCCAGTAATAAGACCGCGTGCGTGCAGCCAACTTAATTTTCGGGAGCATCGGCGCAACAACTTTCGATCGAGTGACACACACAACGCGCACCGCTCATTGGGGCTGTCCCGCCCCTGGAGCCCCACGTTCTCTTAACGGAATCCTCCTTTTGGCGGTGAATGTCCCCCTGCAATTACCGAAGAGGAAAAAATCGACAAAAAATTAAGACCAAGTGCCCCAGCGATGTTGTCCTTCGCATTTTCGGCGAAGTCCAGAGCTGTCATCATGCTTGTCGGTTTTCAGAGGCGTGCGTCAGTGGCAAAAAAGCTGGGGCTGTCATTAAAATAATGCACATACATCCGAAGTATGTGGGCAGAGACCGAAGTGCAAGTTGCCGCCGAACTGGGAAGGTGTTTATTAACAGATCGTTTGGCCGAGCGACGGCTGCATCGAGGGTCCTTAGCCCTCTGCTGCCACTTTCCACTTAACCAACCAGTCGAGCAGAAAATCATGCAAAGTGTCGCCAGTGCACAGTGCATTTAAAAGTAATATTAATAACATGCATTACACCCCATCCACGACCTGTTATTATTAGTAGTTAATGGTCGGGTGTTGTTGGCCCAGTTTACATGGCTCGCACCACTCGTTCGCTGCACCAACTTTTAGCCTGATTGCCATCTTTATGAAGACATAACGATGCGGAAATTTGCATACGTTGCGTGTGTGTAGCCATAACTCCAAACATTATAATTAGAACGCGAACACTACATGAAAGTTGCAGTTTTCTCGAATATCCCCAGGCTTATTACAATGCTAATTCCTTTGGGGCGATGCTGCTTTATGTGTCGAAGTCATGAAAGCTAAGTTCTTCGAAAACAAAGGAGCACATTGTTGAGAAAACACCTATGGACATGCAGGATTTTGTAAAACTTAATTTAATTCTAAGTTTTATGTTGGCTAGGGGAAACTATATTTCAGTTTTTAGCAAAGTATAGTTTTGGAAAACAGAGAAGCTTGACAATCTATTCGATTGAGAATTTAATTGTTTAACTGATGATTACAACCAAGTTTTACAATCGTTTGGTGTTTTCTTCTTTTAGAACTCTTTTTTGAGCGAGTTTATTCCTTCTTTTCCAGAAGAACTACACGCACAGGTTATCTTTTAAAATCATTCAAAGCGCCATAACCCACCTTATTATAAAATAACAACTCATTTCGCAGAACAACCTCGACCGGGTTCAATTCCCTTTTGGTGCTGGGAAACCAGTTATTCCCCCTCTCCATCAGGACTTTCACTTTTACACTTGGCACACAGGAAGCGCCAAGTACATAAAAGCTCAACTCCCGATCTTGTTTCTCACCAGTCGAAGACAACGACTTCAAGCCTAATTACACTTAATTTGAAGGGAATGAATGCGGGTTGGCATAAACTTTTATAACTGCAACAGCATTCTTCATTCGGCGAGTTCTGTTCTGTTTCCTCTTCGAGATCCGTCCACTGTTTTTGCCCAACAGTGCGAATCCTAACGCCGGTTTTTCTACAGTTGAAGAGAAATATAACTCTTCCATATTTAAAAAAAATTAATATCGTTGTTTGTATAATTTATTTTAAATTATTTTAATAAAATACTTAATGACAAACTTAACAATGTGGGGAAAGTTACTTGCTTTTAAATTTCAATTAAATTTAAATCATTTTAAATATATTTCTTTCAACTAGCAAGTGGACTATTAATTTTTTTTTAGTTTTCTGTGTGTTTTTTTTGTGTGCATCCCATAAGTCAGCCAGTTGGTCAGTTGATCGGCGATCGGCGAAAGGGACCTCTGCTGCGTACGTGTGTTTGGCACGCAAACCGATGCGTGTTTACACTGGCGATTATCCCGTTGGCCCTCCTATCCGATCCGATCCGCTTCGCAAAAGAGGAGATAATTTGCCGGGCCAAAGCCAATGGATGTATGAATGGATGGATGGCTAACTTGTTTGTTTTGCCCACCGATCCGAGGCGAAAGGCCTCTGCGAAAGACCTCTCCTTGGATCGTTAACACAAATTAACGAGCAATCATCAAATCGAAGCCAATATTGGAAGGCAAGAAGGTTGTGTTCTTGCCGGGCATTAAGAGCGTTTATTTTGAAATTAATGCGCAGCTCAGGGAGCAGCTGTTTTGGCCCGGCTTGCGGTATTCCCTCATTAACCATTGAAATTACAAGCGGGCTTGGTCAGCTGGCAATGTCCGGCATTTACAACATAATTCATTTTTTCCCCCTGCCCATCGCGTAATTGCAAAGTTGCAACTCGCAACTCGCAGCTCGCAACTTGTTGCCATCGCTCGTTTATTAATTGCTTTTTAATAATTGCCACAAGTACGGCATTGAAATATGCCCGGTAAATATTCGCACAATTTATCAGCGCAGCAGCGTTCGCTTGTTGCCATTTATTGAAATTAATTTTCACATTATCTTGCTAAAAATGAGAAATGATAATTGCTTCGGTCCCTCTTACTTTGTTATTTAACTTGCAATATTTCCTTGCAATTTTTGTTTAATTGTTCGCATCCTTTGAGCGCACTGCTTGCGCACGTGAGCATCCTGTGAACTGCTTGATTTATCTCAAGTTTCCCTCTTTGGGCATTAGATGGCGCCAGATTGTGTTTGGTTGGCAAATTTCTAAGGGATGATTTATTGGCATTAGAAAATTCTGCAGCGCTTAGAAATTGATTATTTCGGATAAATTCAGTTTGCAATATAACAATTTGGTTTGCATTTTAAAATAGATAGTTTTCGTTTGTATTTTAAAAATTATGATGATATTTAAATCACATTTTATTGTTTAAAAAACACATGTTGAACTAATATGTTTTAATTAACTTATTGATAGTTTGATAAGAACTTCGATTCCGGATAAGTTACATAGCAAAAGGCTTTTGAGAGGGTTGTTTTTCTAAAATTTTCAAGCTACTTAAAAAAATTTAATAAATATTTCTAATAGTTTTCATTTTACTACATACCTTTTGTATTTAAATTAATTTTCAATCATGTTCTAACTAAATGGCTTTTTGTTTTGTATCTTAAGGATGGTCATAATATAGTATAGAATATATAGTATAGTATAATATAGTTTAAAATGCTGCTAGTTTATTTTAAATTCTTAGATATTACTATTTAAACCAATATTTTAATGATAAGATAATAAGAATCAAAATATTTAATGATAGCACTGGTGTTTCATAGCAAACAGCTTAGAATCACAGCCCATAAATTCGCACCCCATGCCGATCGCCGACCGCCGACCGCCCTTGAAGGTCCTGAACCTTGGCCTTTGTGTGCTAATTAAACAAAAGGAAAACCCTTTCACACCTTGCGAGCAAAGGGAAAACTGTTACAACTTCTTTTGTGTGTGCGGTGCGAGAATAAATTTGCATAATTTTCGCGCAGCGTCATCAAATTGCGAAATTGCGAAACTGCGCGAGCAACCAGAACAAGCGAAAATATTAATTTTCACAGTTTGACATGTCGCACTCGCATCTGCCTCAGGTTTTTCCCTCAGCTTTTCCCTCATGCAGTGGCATTCGCATGCAAATGAGGCAACAATCGAGCCGACATTTGATCGTTTTTTTGTCGATCCTCCAGATCCATTGTCCCTTGATGATTTTGCATATAAATCAAGTTTCCTTTTGCAACCCTCTCAAGGAATTTACATGTGACCTTACCTTACCTTACCTTCAAAATAAAATAGAAACGAGAATAACAAATGAAAATTTGAAAAAGTGAAAGGGCTGCAGATCGTGTGAATTTGGGAAGGTAATTCAATTAGCGCAGTTCGCTGGGAAGGTTGACAATTCTGCTACGTGTACATATTCATCTCCTCAAGTTGCTCTTGAGAAATTCCATTTCGACAGGCAGTTAGGATGATTTATTGAACCGTCAGTGTTCGGGAAAAGCGGAGGAATCGAGAGGACTTCTCAGGACAAACCAAATGCACACAAAGATACCGAGAGAGAGAAAATGGAAGAAAGCTAGCGAAGAAGTGCTCAACTACACGTGTGCCAAATTCATTTCCATGCCATCCTTGTGGGCGACTATTGATGTTGCTGTGGGCGCTTTCTTCCGTCTCCCTCTAACCCATCTGCCATCTCCCTCGCACACATAGGAAGTGTGTCTGTTTGCTAAAGGATAACAACAGCAGCGGCAGCAACAACAACGACAGCTAATACACAATTTGCATATATTTATCCATCAAATTGATGGATGCTACTGCACACACAGCAAACGAAGGGGGATTCCAGCGGGGGAAAATGGGGCTGAAGGAGGGGGAGGGGTAAGGGGGAACGGGAAACGGTGTTGTTGCTTTGACACGTCGCAATACCCCAAAAGGATAATGACAAAGACAGTAACAGCAACATCAGCAGCAGTCAGGACAATGCCACAAGCACTGTGCGAAGAGAGCTTCCAATTAAAATATATACATAAATATTTGTTATATATATCATAAATATTTTTAAGATTAACGTTGGGTTTTTAGATTATTTAGATTGGCTATTTGTGGAACATTTTATTATACATAGGTTTAAGTACACAGCTATCGGAGAAAAAGTATTTAACTGTCATGCGATTTAAATTCATTGTTAGGTCGAACTCGTCATTGAATACATACCATAAATGCCTAAAATGCGATATTACAAAAAACAAAAACATTTTTTATATTATATTTAAATTTTATTCAGTTCTTTATTAAACCATATTTATTTAAATGCACCATCAACAACTTACAAGCAATTATTTTTAAAGCAAAGATATTTTTAGTAATTTTTAGTAAGCCTCCAATGAGTACCTCAAAATTATTATATCTTATATTTTCCTTTAATATTTGAGTTCAAATTTTTATTACAGTGCATACACACACCAGTGCACTCACACACTTGGCAAGCGTGAGCAATTTGCAAGGCGCTGGCGAAAAAGGGCAACAGGAAACTGTCAAGATGGGGGAACTGCTCGTCGGGGGAAAAGCGCCGGCTGTGAGCATCCTTTAAGTTTCCTTCTCGCCTAGGTATCCAACCGACACTTCAATCGTGCCACGTTCGACGCTCCACTCTGGGAAAGCGGGAAAAGAAAAGCGTGGCAAGAGGAAGAGAGTCGAGAGTCGAGAACGAACGGCGAAGGTTGGCTGCCATGAGAAAATTACATTTTCCCCGGAAAAGCACTCAACCCGAAGACATTTTCCGTTGGCACTGGCAACTCAGTGCGGTTGATGGTTTTCCAGGGGGAACGAGGAGGTGGCTGGCATTTCAAGTGGGGCCTTTGTGTCCATGTGTGTGTGTGTTAGAATGTGTGTTTATCTGTGTCTGTGTGTGTGTATGAGTGTGCCGCTGCTTTATATCCTTTTCTGCCGCTGCTGCCTGATAACAAAATTTTCTATTTTATCTCATAAAAATATATGTAAAACGTCCTCCACGACGAGCCAACAGGCAGCAACAAAGCTGTAAAGGGGGAAAAGGGGAAAAGCTGAGGAAAAGTGTAAGAAAAGGAAAATTCTTTTATGCGTACTTATACATTTTTATGTTGCAATTGTTGGACGGGCCCAGCTCACAGTCTTCATATTATTCCTTCACAGAAATCCACATCTAGAGAAAAAATTAAACAGAATATAACACATTTTGTTAACAACTTTTTAAAATCGGTTTTGGTGCTTTTATTATATTTAAAACTTATAATTATAATTTGAGTATTGAAGTCTAATATAATATATTTTTAATATTCAAATATCATATCTTTATTTTCCCAAGTGGAGTTTCTCCCACCGCCTCCTTTTCAATTTCCCACTTGAGAGTCAATCGATAGTCCCTTTAGCTTTTCTTCTCCCACTCACAATTAAGCGGGAAAAGTCTTGGCAAGCCAACTCTTTGAGCGCTAATTTCCCCTCGCTTTTCCTTCTAATGAACAGCTGTTTTTTCCGCCGGCCGCGAATCTGGCGGTAAAAATAAAGCCAAGGAGAGCGCGCAAAACAAGTCGCGGAAAATTAAAAAGAAAATGAACAACGGCGGCGTCATCAGCTGTTGCTGGCATCGTCATTAGTCGTGGGGAGTGGTGAGAGTGGGTGGAAAGTGGGAAATGGAAAATGAGGTGGAAACGGGAGAGGGGAAAGCCAGCCAGCTGAGCGCTGGTGTGGGCGCAATGAATGAAAATGAAAATCGCACAAATGAAAATGAGCGTCGTGACGTTGCCGGTGTTTCGCAATGGCCAAAAAGCACGTGTTGCCGGATACCAAATTGCAAATGAGAGAGCGGGAAAAAATTAAAGAGAAAGGGGAAAATTACACTCGACGGAGATAATTTGGTACGAATTTATGAAGAGCCATATTTGAAATTCGGGGTTCTTATTACCTGACGAACAAAAAGGATTATAATAGGTACAATTTAAATTTCTTTAAATATAGTTATTTTCTTCTAACCAGTTGTGATGCAAATTATTTAGGTTTAAATTAATATTTTTTAATATTCTTTAAAAAACATAAGTAAGAGCTTTTATAAATGTTAAATCAATCTTCGAACTAACCTTAAAAGCTGTTTTAATACAAAAAATGCATTAAGGGATCTAAACTCAAAATTGTAATATTATGCTTTAAGTTTTTTTAAAAGCCCTATTTATTTCTTAGAATCAATGTGGGTATTAGTTTGTTTTAATTGTTATACTTTTATTGTAATGATAGTACCTACCTATTGTTCCATATACCATGTTTTGTGTTGTGGTAGTCAAACGAGTTTTCCATCCCCAAGAAGTTCTCGAAGATAACCTCAATTGAACCCGAAACTCTCACCCACCTTCCCCCAACATCTCTGCAACTCAATTAAAAACAGGGCAACGGCCACAGCCGCCCACCCACCAGACAAGCCACCCACTCACCCAATTTTCCCCGGCTACTGTTCTTGTTGTTGTGGCAGCACGTCGTCGCTGGGTCGTGTCCTTGAACTAGAAACCCGTTTAATTTAACTGTTGCTTAATTGCTGGCAGAAGCAGAGGCTGCGACGCCGACGCCGCATTACGTCATTAAATATGCTGCCGATTTTCCTACGGCTTTTCCGACCTCTTCAGCTCCTGTTGATGCTGCTGTCTGCGTCGCAGTTGCTGCACTTTCCGCAGCTGGAAAACTTCATTTTGGGTAATTTTTCGCCCGTCTTTGTTTCTCATTTTCATTTTCATTCATTACCCGGCGTTAATTTCCTCGTGCCAAATGCCGAAGCGTTCCCCTCACCACGATTTTTCCGGCTTTCCCACTGCAAACGCCTGGGAAACGGAACACAGCGACAGCGCTGCTTCTCGGGGGATGCAATTGGCTGCCAGCGAGTGCGAAAGGGATGCAAAGTGGCGGAAAGCAGCGCGCATGCGCACTGGTCGAAGCGCCGACGTCGCTGCCGGCGTCGCTGTCGGGCTGAGAGTTTTCCCCTGCTGCGGAAAGCAAAGGCAAAGGAGGAAAGGCCAAAGGCGAATAATGGCAGCCGTGCTCTCAACTCCCACCCACCCGCTGTTGCTCTCTCTTTTCTTCGCCTTCTTCCGTCTCTCTCTTTTTTTGGCTGAGGCGCTGGCAGCGACGTCGCTGCCGCAGGGCAACCAAATTTGCATGCGCCCAAAAATCGGGTTAACTATATAGATAACGTCGTACAGTAAATGCTAGTAAAATCAAAGAGTAAAACTTCATATAAGAATAACGTTTAATAATTTTTGTAAACTTAAGATCTTTACAAATAGTTTGCAAAAGTATTTTTTTGTACAATGTCCAATTTTATTTAACAATTTGTTAACTTAACTGCTTGAAAAATTTTAAGGCAATAATGTAAGTAATATTTTTAAGAAATTATAATTTCTGCGCTAAAAAGCTAGTTTTATGATTCAATTTTAGGAAGCTTGTAAGAGATTTATACTTAACATAACATAATTTGATTGTTACTAATGTTAACGATATTATACTTTCAAAGGCATGGCTGTTGAGGTTTTCCTTTTCATGAGTTACTACTGTCCGATAGATATCTGAGTACACATACAAAAGTATGTGCCCTGGGCGGTGGAGTGATGGGGTGGCAGGGCGTTGGGTTGCCTATGGAAAGGGGGTGGCAGAGTCGTCGGAGATGTGGAGTGGAAACTGAAGGCTTCAGCAATATTGCTGTATTTTTGAAATTCCAATTTGCATATTTTGATGTGCGTCGTCGACGTTCGACGCTTCCATTCCCTTTATGCCCCTCAGCAATTTTCGCAATTTTATCGAATGCGCCCTGGGAGAATTTCCCGGCAAATGGCGCCTCCAAGTAGGCAACACTTTTCGTCGCCAAAATAACAAATTCGGTGGAAAAAATTCGCAACAAAAAGAAGACAAACAATAATTAAAAGCTGGCCAAAACAACCACCAGTTGCTTTACAACGCCGGTTCATTCATCTCTTCATTATGCTAATCATGAAGAAAATGAGAGGAAAAGCTGGCGTCTCTGCCAGCGATTAATGAACGCAGCAGAGCCAGTGACTGCGACGCCAGCAGCGCGAAAAGCAAAACAATAACCGCCGTCACCTTGACCTTGAAACCCACATTTAAAATAATTCACTCCCGGCAGCTTCATCATCATCACGCTTTTCCAGGGAGAGGAAAAACAGAGACACCGAAACCATTATCTCATCAACGAAAATGAAAATGAAAATGAGCGCAGCTCCCTCACACCAACGTCGACGGAGGCAGCGCTGTCGGCGTCGCAGTCGGCGTTAGTTGGGAAAACACTCATTATCACACGGCGATAAAATTTTAAACACAAATTATGTTGCAATTAGCTTGTAATTTAAAAGCCAGCTTTGTTATGGAGTTTCAGCTTTAAAAATGAAATTTTGACCATAAAACTTATAAATTTTTAGGCAGTTAAGATACTTTGCATTAACTAAGTATTTCAGAAAAAATAATATATTTCTTGGATATTTTGTTATTATAAAAACCAAAAGTTCCAGTTTAAGAAGAAATTCGATTATAATTTTTTAAATTTCTCACAATATCCGTACATATTTAATACAAAATGAATTAATTTATTTGGTTCGCAAGCCAATGAAATTTTTTGCTAAATTTTTCTCTGTGCCTTTGTTCACTACCATTCATTTGGTGGGTGTAGAAAAGTGGGCCGCGCTCTCTTGCGGCTTTGGCCCCAAAAACAAACTAACAAACGGCGACGCCAACGCAGGACGACGGCAGCAACGCGCCACCGGCAACTTGCAACACCAGCAGCAGCAACACCCAACCCGGCAGCAACATCGGGAGCAGCGGGAAAAACTCTACCGAGTGGGTTGCAAAGTAAATTTTTAATGGGCGAATGAAATTATAGCCCCACCGACGAAGGAGGAGGAGGAACAGGAGGAGGATGCGGTGGAAAAGCTGTGCAAATTCTGCCGGCAACGGGCTGAAATAAATGAAATGAAACAAGCGGAGCCCAGCAGCGAGGAAAAGCGAACGCTGACTAACTACCAACTTGGCTCATTTTCGCAGCAGTGAACAGCGATGACGTAGCGGCTGCCTTGCCTTTTAATGCAACAGTTTTTCCTTCGCCGCTTTTCCACCCACTTCGGTGAACTCATTTCCACGGGGCTTCCCCAGACGCAGCCTTAGATGTTGTTGCATTTGGCCTTGCAGCGTCTACCAAAACGAAAGCGAAATTAAAATGGCACAAGAAATTAATGGGCTACGTGGGCGGGAAGTTGCAGTCGCAAATGGGCGAAAAAACAAAGGAAATGACATTTATTTTTCCAGTTTTACGATCCACCAAGGACATATTTAAGCTAATGGGAAAACTACTTGTGAAAGTTTTTCAACCTAAACGGAAAGTGTTTAATAGCAAACGAATAAAACAAAGTACTGTCAAATTAAATAGGATATTATTTTTTTAATTCTATCTATTTAAAAATGTTATATTTGAATATGTTCCCCTCCATCTAGCTTATAAGATATGTTACCTTATCTTCCCCGCTGCTCATTTAATTACTCAAATATCCCAAGTTCAGATAATCAGTCATGGTAAAAAAAACCCAATTCCACTGACAAGGACAATCAATCGACTTACCCAATAATGACAATATCAGCAGTCATTCAATCTACAAATTTGCCCATCTCACAGACCCAAAAGTCATTGCCCGACTTGAAAGCTGAAAAGTCAGAGAAAGAACGACGGCAAAAATCGAGAACCCAAGGCAATTGACAAAAGGATCAGCAGCGAATGGACCAAAGACTGACCCTTTTTCATGGCTGCCAGTTGGCAAATGAAATTCAGTCGAGCGCAACCGACAAAAAGAATGAAAACTCGACTCTCCATTTTGTTGCCTTTTGCTGCCCGAGTGGCGTTCTCTGATTAGAATCGACTGTGGACACGCATCGATGCCATTGAATGGCCAAAAGTCGCCAAATCGCCAAAGTGTCAGCATACATAAAAATATTCAGAAGCAAGTTAATAGCAGCTTTAATATTATTGAGAAATTCGTAATCAATTTAATATTAAAAAAAAATTAAAACTTATTGTACAATCCTAACTTTTTAAGATAAGAACAATCTCGACAATATCAATTTGTTAATTAAAATTAATTTGGTTACAATATCGTAAGTATTAATAAGATGTTAAATGCAAGAAATCTCCTTGTTTTAATAACCCTGATTACTTTCCTTAACAGTATGTATTTTTCCTAACTGTATTTGTCTGCAGAAATATATATATTTCAACTGATATTCATGCTTAATGGTTTTTATTCCTGCTCCTCGCACTAAATGAGATTAAAGAACATTGACAACTAAATGAAAAGCTCCTTTTCACCCAACCCATTTCGGGGTGTATCGCATTTACTTTTTGGGCAGAAGGAAAAATGGCAAATTTCCAGTACATTAATATGGCAGCCGATAAGGCAGCGGTTCGCCAAAAAAATGGGGGAGGAGGGGGCGTGGCAGTTGGGCTACATGTGTGACATATCGCATGACATTCAGCTGAATTGTTCAGTTGAATTTTCAAAGAGTTTTTTTTCGCAACCATCTCTCCCTTTTGCCTTTCATTTTTTTTTTTTTTTGGTGAATTTCGCTTGGCTCGAAATTGAATAAAACAACCTGAAATGACAAACGAGACCGAGTTCCTGGGGTTGGGAAAATATTTGTTCACGTTGTTGCTGTTGTTGTTGTGGGTCAGGGGGTGGCATGTGTGTGTGCGAGCACGTGTGCACCCGTAATTTTCCATTTGTGAACTTTTCCCTTTCTTTCGGCTGTAGATTTTCACGCTTCCGGCATTGATGAAGCTGCTGAAGGAGTCGCGGGCATCAGCAGCCAGCGGAAAATGCTGAAAACCAGCAGCAGCCGCAGCTTGACAGCCAGATAGACATAACAACAACAGCAGCAGCGGCAACATCGACAGGGGAAAACTACAACAACCACTCTAACAAGCTCTCTCATTGCGTGTGTGTGCGTGCGTGAGGGTGTCAATTTGCAAAAAGAAAAAATAAAAATAAAGAAATGGAAATACGCAAAGCGCGACAGGCAAAAATCGAAGTTGAAAAATAAATGGGAGACAATTTCGTCAGGACCAAAAAGAAAAAGTGTGGGAACTACACACAGAAAAATATATTACAAGTTATTTGAATAATCGTACAAGCTAGAAAAACTTTAAGTACTATTATAGTAAGGGAGTTCACCTAAACAGACATGAAACATTAATTAAATATTAATGGAGTACATTTTTTGAAAATGATTTTCTAAAAAGTTTGCTCACCATGCATATTTATAAGTAATCACAAAATCCTTTTACTATTTATAAAGTATTAAATTTAAATAATTATAATTATATTATATACATGGATATAATAGTTCGAACTTCTTATAAGAAATGATCACATAAAGGTTTTTAGAAATAATATTTGAAGTTAAAAACTGTCGTTATTATTTAAGACCTTTATTTCCTTTTGGTGTATTTAGCTGGATTGTGGCTCAGTTGAGTCCAATGGCGGGTCCTGTTTGTTTATGCGGCCTATATGAGTTCCAAATAAAAAATGGCTGCCAAGGACAGCATTACATATGCGTGTGTGTGCCCGTGCCAGAGTGTGTGTGTGTGTGTAATAAGATATTTTAGTGACTTGTGTCACAGCGCATGCAAATCCATCAAATGTGTAGTCCCCCCGCCGTAAAGCTCCCTTTACTTATTTGTAATGGGATCACAAACACACTTCAATTTCATTTGTGACGCTTTACGCACAAACACACTGACAAACGAGGAGGAGAAGGGGGATTTCCCGGGAAGATGAGAGCTCGGCTCAGAGTCAGCGTATCAATCACAAATTAATGAGATGTGAGTGCCGCACAGTTTCTGCCGAGAAGAACTCCAAACTGACAGTTTGCCATTTTGAGGAAAAGCTGGAAAGGAAAAGCTGGCAGAAGCGATGCGAACGGAACGAAAGGAAAGGAAAGGGAAGGGGGCGGCGATTTTCCCTCTCATGCAAATGTCGCCCTTCCAAATTACATACAATTCATCACATTTCATTTGGCAGAGTCGATCCTGAAGGCAGCTCCCTGTCTCCTCCGATATACACACATATATATATCTTTCTATTTCTGTTTCGGCCTGGGTTTCCGTTTCAGTTTGCGATGCTGCTGCTCCAGCAGCTCCTGGCCAAATTGGTGGCCCGGCATTTAATGGGCTTAGCGACAAAGGCCCTCAAACGAGCTTTGTGCCATCCGAATGCTCAGAGGTACCTATGTGTCTGGCTTTGTCTGCCCAATTTGTAGCCAAATCCAATTGCCTGATATGTGCACATATAAATAAGGTAACTTTAGAGCCTTGAAGGATGTCAACTTGAGCTGGGATGGCTTGCAATAAATTCAAAGCAAATGTTAGTTGGCAATCAAAGGTTTCGCAAGAGAATACAACTGTTACTTTAGCCTTTCAATCGAGAAACCAAAAGAATGAAAGCTAAATTTATTTGAATAATTTTAATTGGTTGAACTGTGTGTATTGTTAGTATTTATATGACTTAAAGATTTTGCAAAACTTAAAAATGGCTTTTATTACGATTTAATTGGAAGGCTATTAAATCGAAACCAAAGGAATGAAAACTAAATTTATTGGATTATATTTTAATTGGTTAAATTTTGTTTTATTGGTATTCATTTTATTTTAAGATTTTGAATAGTTGAAATATGATTTTAAATGTGGCTTACTTTATATTATTAAAGATGCTGGCTGTCAGTCTTGTTATTGAAATGTTATCTAATTTAAAGTCAAACTTATGACCAACACGATTCCTGTAAATAAGTAGAAGTCCAGCTCAGTTTGATAACTTAATAACTATTTTACCTCACTGAAAGTTGCCTGTCATGTTCTAGATAGGTAAGACCCTTCCCTTTTTACCCTAAAACTTTCCCCTTATTCAAGAATTTGCCAAAGTCTTGGCAGCAGCCACAAATTGCGCAGCGTCATAAAATGTAAAATTTTCAATTGTCTGCAATCTGTGTGCGAAAGAGTGTGTGAGCTGCTGTCTTCGCTCCACTTGAACCCCGGTGAACTGCCGGGGAAACCCCCCGGAAAAGCCCCGACACTCTTCTCTCTCTCCCCAGGATTTTCTTGAGTGGCCAGAGACCAAACATTTTTATGGACGCTTACAGTTTGGCAACCGTTGGCCGCTTACATTGTTCACATGCTGCCGCCGAAGTCACTAACTTGGCTGAAAGGCAAAGTATTAGAAATACAATAAAGTCGAGTCAAAGTGAAAAGTTTTACGCAGCGGCTGCCGCAGCTACTGCGTATTTTCCCGCCCACCGCCCACCACGCCCCCTTTTTGTTCCGACAAAGAAATTGAGTAAAAAATGCAGGAAAAGCGACGAGAAAAAAAGTTTTGCAAACAGCAAAGTTTGCTGGCGCCCGATGAGAACTACCTTTGTCGGGGAAAATTGGGAGGGAAAATGGGAAAAAGGGGCACCACAAAAGCGCTACCACAAATAACTTTGTTTGCCACATATGAGGCGGCGCTTTTCTTATTTTTTTTTTTTTTTTTTTTTTTTTGTTTGAGGCGCGGCTTAAAAACTTTTAACAATGCACCAAAGCTGCCAAGTGATTTCTTTCATATTATTAACTTGGGCTTGAGGAGTCGGCTCATGTGAAGTGGCCACCAATGGAGGAGCAGCCACTGCAACCGCTACTGGAAATATTCGAGGAGGAAAACTCCCAACTTTCCCAACTTTAACCCTCTCGAGGCACTGCCACTTGACCGTAAAGGAGTCACGCATGCGTGGAGCTTGGTGTCATTTCCATAGGGGATTACACACTCGCGAAAACCGCGAGGTCTTCAAATAACCGGATTAGAGATACGGAGCTTAGTTATATTAAACATTAATGAATAAAACATATAGTAGGTATCACTAGAAGATTATCTTGACAAAATGCTCGTTACTTTTATGATATGCAAATTGTAAAAAAAATGGACTTTATACTAATTTAAAAAATCTGAAGTAAATAAAAATTGGTTTTTAGTAATTGATTAAAAAATATAGGATCCAGAATATTTATAGAAATTTTATAGATTTCGGAAATTAATTGATTACGTGATTAAATTAAACCAAAATAAGTATTTCTACTGATAATGCAATATTTATATCCATATAGCGGCATATCTGGTTTAAACCAATTCAAAATAGGCAGAATATTCACTTTTTGTTTGATTTTAAATCTTTAACTTAAAGAATATTTTTCACAGTGCAGAAACTGGCTTTTCACCATATATATATATCCATCTGAACCATCACCATCTTGATCTAGCAACCAACACGCTCGGGCTTCACGCACAAACTGAGGATCTCGGAAATCGCGAAACAGCTGTGAAGGGTTCGCTGCCTCAGTCATGCAAATCGCGCATAAATTCTAATTTATTCAGCGCGGATCAGCGGAGGGAAGTTGCTATGGAGAGGGTTGCCCTATAAGCCTACGACTCTACCCATATCCTCCGCCCAGGTAAAACAACCTCCTGTTCCCTCTTTTTTTCACTTTCCACTGAGGCGTTTGCGCCGGCGCATAAATTACCCAGCGAGAGGCCTTCGAAGTTCGAAGGCAGCAGATCAAACCCTTTCGAGAAGCGAGAACTGGTCACGTAATGCCCACATCAATCTGTCCTTCGTCTCCTCTTCGATTTTCTGGAAGGCGTTTTGCTGGGGATTTTCGCCGGCATTTGGTTATTTTATTCGGCTTATAAACTGACAAATTTGGCAAATGCTCGCTGTCATTTGATTGATGAGCTGGCGTCTGAATTTTGTGGCGGCTTATGGCTCGCTATTTTTTTCGTTTTTTATTTTGTATTGATGATGGGTTAAGCCATGAACATTGCTCAAGTTTTCGGCGGTAGTCAAATGAAAGGAAATAAAAAAAATATACAGGGGGTAAAGAAATAACTTAGATTTTTTTATAATAAATGATGGTTCAAACTTATTTGGGAAACCAAAAATTTCAAATAAATTGGTTGAATATATTTGTGTAATATTTTTAAAGAATTATTATTATTATTATTACTACAACATGATCTTCAAATACTTCTTACTTGTTTTTGTTTACTTAAAAAACCAAATGTTTTGTGATTCTTTGTTTTCTAACCACTTGAACCTTTTGTAAAACAAACCAAAGAGTCACCCAACTCTCGGTGACATCGAGAACCGCTCTTGAAATTTCATGGGCAATTCAATGCCGAAACCCTTTCGCCCAACTCCACACGTAGAATTTAAAGTCTAAAAATAATAAAATAGAGGACGCGTAAAACAGCATGTAAATGTGTTGTTAAATGCGACGGCGACATAAAGAAATATTGGCATTGCGAAAAATCCGAGTTGGCGGGCATAAATCAACAATTTTAATGCAATTGCCGCAGATATCGGAGCACTAACCCCATTGATACGCATATACTGGCATGATATGGAAAGGGGAATCCTCAACATATGCCAGCCCATTAACATGCGATTTTCAGTTCGGTTGTGATTCGGCATTATGAATATTCATAGGCTGGCATTGTCTGAAATCGGCGTAACGTAAATTAAAAGGCAAATTTATAATAATGCCCGAAAGCCAGGGGACAATGGCAGATCACAAAGGGTTAGATCAGATAAATGCCCTATCTCTCTGGCCAGCAAAGCACTTTCCCCGATCCGAGGGGCAAATCGGCAATAAATCGCCTTCAGACAATGGGAATCGGGAAAAGGGGTTTCAAGAGCATCCTATCTGCTGTTTGCTTACTCGCATTTTATTGACAATAGGGGTAGTAAAAATATAAAACACCGAAATACCTGACTTTCCATCGCTCGCCACGCAAAAACATTGAACTCTTCGCTTCGAGTGTTTGCGGTTGGTATCGGTTTCTGGTTTTGTTTTTTTTTTTTTTGGGTATCTGGGCCGCACTTAATTAGACTTTTATGCCAAACTTTCAATACACATTTCATGCTCAAATTGCTGATGTGGGATGGGTTCGCATCCCGTTGAACTTCCTCTCTCATCTGCATACAAAATCTAGGCCCGCATGGCACATCGTTTTCTTGGCTACCTGAAGCGAATTCGAAACGCTTTTGTCTTTCGTCTTCACGCATCATGAATTTGATTGAGGATTTTATGCTTTGCATTCAATAATTTTACGCAGCTTCTCCCCATTCAACGCGGAACAGGAAGTTGCCCGGCGGAAGTATTTCCCTCAGGAGATTTTGCTTTCCATCGTTACTTGCAGTGCTCTGAAAACTTTTTCCAAAAAGTGAAAGTGGCGAAAAGGTAAAACTTTTGCAAGTGACGCACTTGACAGTCACCTTGGATTGAGTTGGTTAATGAGGGAGGGATTTTTAAAGAAGTTGCTTTAAATTTAAAGTAGGAAATTACTGATATTTAAAGTACTTAATTTGAATAATTCGTACAATATGAAACCTC